TTTTATGAGCAATAAAAAAAAGTCAAAGAATGTCAAGATTAATCAAAGATTCAATAATGTTGAATGAAGATCTTGCCATTGGTTCCGATAAATGTGGAAATGTATTTGGATTATTGTACAATGAAGGTTTGCTTTCTTCTAATTATTATTTAATCAATCAATCTACGGAAATCAATTATACTTATTCACATTTATCATCTATCATATTATTAAAGATGATCCAAGTATCGAGTCATGTATATCACCATTATTTTCTTTCCACACAGCTGAAATTGTATCAAGGTTACGTGTTGTTTATTTAGGTTACCGATCGGATAATATCACATATTCTACTACATCACTATCGTCATTTCATCAGCAACTATCACCTCTTTATGAAAAAAACAAAAACAAAAACAAAAACAACAATGATCATGATGATAATAATGGCAATAATGGTTGGGATATCGATAAGGATATTATTAGTTCTTCTGCTGCTGTAATTGGTTGCTCATTACTTGGAAGTGTATTTCTATTTGTCAGAGTAAATTTAAAATCATATAAATTATTAAGGGTTTTACAAACAATTTTAGAAAAATGGCCAACCACACGACCTGTCCTAGGTAATAATAATAAATTCATTTTCTTTTCTTTTATTTATTAGTTCACACAACTAATTATCATTCAGCTATAATAACATATAACAGAAAATATTAATCATCATTATTTCATAATTTAGGAAACGATAACAGTAAATTTAGATCTGATCATAATGCCACTAAATTAAATTTTGTTATTGATGGAGAGATGGTATCCCAATTTTTACGACTCTCAAAACAAGAGCAATTTAGAATTATTGAAAAACATCCAGAACTTATAAAAGCTGGCAAAATCTTTATCCACGGAGAAAATTGGTTTTATGGAGTTGCTACTCCTACTAATACTCCTACCACCGCCACTACACCGTTAAGTACTGGTAGTGATAGTTATCTCGGTGGTGAGAAAAGCGAGGAAGTAATAATGGCCAAATATGTAACCAACGTAGAAGAGAAGAAAGAAGTTGGAAATGATCTTATGGATGAGGAGGAAATTGATGAAATGAAAAACAAGTCTATACTCATCCTTGTGCTAAAAAAGATGATTTGAAATTAATAACAGAAAATGAAATCTATGACGATGATGGTAATGATGATGATAATATGAAAATGGATTATGTCAAAGATGATGGTGGTGATGATATTAAGATCCAAAAGCACTTATTACAGCGTTTAGATGATAAACAATTGGTAGCCATTGAAGAAATTGTAGAAGTAATACATATTGTTTTATCTGAATTA